AATTACTATTGTGAAAACAGTGTTCTGACAAAAAAAACAAAAAAACAACAAACAAACAAAAACCCCTCAACTTTGCACTGGCAACTTAATGTGTTTCTAAAAATCCTAGAGACAGATTCTCTAACATGGCATGAATCAAGGCAAGCGCTTGAAACAATACTGGAGAGACTCCTGTCAGAATCAATGATTCAAGACTCTCCTCTGGAGTTCTGGAAAAATGGATCTCAAAGTCTCACTCACATCTGACTACAAATCCAAAATAGCCTGATTTGAGGCTGAAAAATTACAGATGAATGTTGTGGATGTGGGAACAGAAGGAAGAACATGAGGATTAACAGATCTGGTAGTACAAGAAAATCACCATCTGCGCCTATATTAAAGAAATTAAAGTTACTTTTTCCACAAGAACAGAGTTTTTCAGACCAATTAATGTCTTACAGTCCTCATATCGAGTTACTCTATTATAATTTCTGTTTCTTGTTTTGTTTTGAAAATTATTAATCTGATGTAGTTGAGCCATCTAGGAGTCTACATTGAGTTTTTAAAAATCACAACGTGGTTACTTTTGCCACACTCTATTCAGTTGAAGCAGTAGCCTGCACTGCACCTATGAAGTCTGCCCCTTAAGCCCCTTCTACGATGAACAAAGTTTTCTGTCAGATACAAATTTCTTTCCTGATGATGAGAAGTCTGGTATGGAAACCACCCTTGGATTCAGAACAAACCCTGCAAAAGACAGTCACAGCATGGAAACACTGCACTGCCTACCAGCAGAAAATTGTTCAATCTTTTACAGATTCCTGTAGGCACCAGGGCCTCTGAGTTGATACTATAAGAAACATTCCTTCAGAAAAAGAAGAAAAAAAGGAAAGCTTTGAACTGTTGCATCTATAAACCAATCAACCAAACAAGAAAAATCCACCCCGCTGAAACAAGGTGACTGCTAAAAATGGCAATGAGGAACATGGTCAAAAGGTGTAGTTAATATGCTCTGCAAAGGTGTTACATGGAAATTTCCCAGCTGCAGCCTCTTAGTTGTAACAGTGGAAGAAATCTCTCACAGTGTCCATCCCTACTTCCTTGAAAAGACAATTTTTCTGACTTTTCTAGATAATTACATTTCCCTTCAGGAAGTACAAATGTTACTCTTTTAGCTGTCTCTGAATCAGGGAGAGTTCTTTCTCCATTATCATGCTCTCCAAGTAATGATAGCCGCAGTTTGTTGGTCAGGAGGTTGGAGGGCTTCCTAAAAAACTGACCACCACTGTATGACTGCTTTTTCATGGCTCCCATACAGTTGATCTTTCTGTTTCATGCACCACATTTAATAATTTTACCAAAACTCCTTGGTGTTCCTAGTAATGAAGTATCTTATTTTATCCTACAGAATTGAAGCAGCATAGACAGTGTTTCAACCAATAAACTGGAGGAGGCATGATGGCACCGTTCTGCCCAAGGCGTTGACAGACAAATGTCTCAACTGAATACTCAACATTTGTTGCATTACTTTAAAGAAAAATCTGCATTATGGATTGCTTGCTGTACTACTATTTATTAACAAGATATGTCAATTTTCAAACAAGATAAATGGAATACCTTTGGTTGTTCTGGAATTGGTCCCTAAATTCTTCTAGATGCTAACATTCAACATGTAAAACCTCAAAACCTGAAGTATTTATTGTAATTTTTATGAGACTGTTGGTGCATAAAATTTATTTTGAAAACAAATACTTTTTAAAGACTCTATTCTTCCCAGTCTTTTAATGAATATGTTAACTTCCTATGAAATCAGTATAGCTCACATTAACTTAAAATCTGGCTAATTGAAAACCCACAAAAAGTAATTGTAAGTGTGGAATTTTCACAAAGTAGCTTGTTTCCAATAGGTACGGTTTGAGGGAGCTGTAACAGTCTGTCCTGGTCTAATATTATTTAGAGTTTTTCAGAATAATAAAGAACAATATATATTAAAAAGCTAGACAAACTTCAGCTGAAATGCACATTCTCAGAGAAGTAAATGATAAGAGATTATTACATAGCTTGATTTGGATTGCTTTGTAAGATTGGTGCATGCCAGCAAATTTGACTTATCATTTATTTGCACTCAACTGACCATTCAAAATAAGTCTAAGCACAACCCTTCTCAATCACTACATCTAGAAGTAGGTCAGTATCTTGGAATACAAGAGTATCCACAGAATTGTTGTTTTGTCAATCAGTTGCGTAATGCAATCCTCCATCTGAACAGCAAGTGCTTGGATCTATAAATAAAACTGAATTAATAGGAGGTAAGTAGTGTTATGATTGCTTATTGTATCATAAACAGGTTTCCTTCTCCCTCTCAGTTCAATATCAGGTTAAATTCTGATGCCATAGCTCAGAAAAGATGGTAAAATTCTACAATGATTCTGTGTTTGGATAAAATGACTTTTAAAGTCAGAAGAGGATTATGAAATCCAAGTTAAAAAAACAAAATCAGGTCATAAGCACACGACAAATTTTAAAGTATAAAGACTAAATGATAGAACTATCTGTCTCTAAATATTCTGAGCTGCCCATCGCTGAAAGACTGTAAGTCCAGACTGTTTATGGGAGATGTTACATTTCAATCTGCTTTCATTAGCTGACTGGAAAAGCTTCAGTTACAGAGGTTCTGTTAATGTTACAAAAGGAGTTCAAACGAATATCCCTAATAATCTGATAGAGCATTAAAGCTTAGAATAGGCCTACTTCCAAAACACTGCTTTGAGGAAGCAAGATATTCGGAAAGTATAAAGGTACAATTTGACTGGTCATTGAGAACTGCTTCCATTTGAAATAAGTAATATTTACCAGCATGTACACTTCTCATTTTTTTCCTTTTAAATTTGAAGTAATACTTACAGTTCTAACAGGCCTTTGAACAACCCTTTCAATTAAACAGAGGTATTCATCTAGCACCATTTCAAACAGCTACAAAATTTCCCTCTACCCCCATCTCCGTTGATCATAAGCAAAGCCTACATTTCCTCTGTTCATATTTCCTTTCAATCACTCAACGATATCATTTTGTAACAAATTAAATACTTTTAGTTAGGAATAAGCCTAAACAATAAATGTTGGTAAAGAGTAAATATATAATGTACATGTTTTACTATTAAGATTCACAGTGAATACTCAGAAGTCATGAAGGCACTTAACGTTTAAGTGTTGAAATCTGAAATATATTTTTTACAATACAGACCTTTTTCTACAGAAAACTTGTGCTCCCACACAATAGGAAGACAGACATCTAAAATCAGTGCATCATTTACTATATCATCTTATATTGCAAAAATCCAATGTTTCTTCAAAATGAGATCAAAATTTGAAAAAAAAACATGACATGTGAAGTATTAACCATTTCTTTTTTTTACACAATAGCTCATATTAATATTGGTGCGGCAACAGTATTTCCCAGAGAGAGAAAATGATACTTTTTCTGAGAGAAACTCATAATAGCATTGTGTAAACTACTTTAATCTATGACCCATTCTTCTGTCTCAAAATGGAGGACTGAACCATGTGGCCCAATCAGTCCTTCTCTGCATCCAGTAAACTTGGGAGAAAAACTCAAGCTTCTAAGTTATCTTTTAGGCTTTTCAGAGCATCATCTTTAGTCCTTTTTATCTTTTCTCTCATGATTTTAGAGCTAAAGGTGCTCCAATACATGCAGTCCCTTGACTTTTGGCATTATGGAAAGTCCATAGGGATTTGAACTTCTTCAGACATTTGATACTTGGAAGGGTAAATAAGGAATACAGTAACATCTATAATGATAACACTGGCTTACCTGGATCCAAGTTTATAGTACTTTATCAACTCAACTAACTCAACTTTTAGTTACTTGTTCTTATTAAAAATAAATAAATAAATAATTAGGATTAGCACACTACTCTAGCCACATTGCAGCCTGACAAGGCAGTTGCATTAAGGAAAATGGTAAGAAGATGAGGAGTTTGGTAAGCATGCACGGACTTTCATAACCTTGAGACATTTTTATTAATAGTGCTTATGACAGAAATCAGGCAATAGTCTTCCTAATTTAGATTAGGACTTTAGAGAATTTAGATTTAGACTTTAGAGTAAGTCCAATTTGTCCATATATAACATAGGCTCATGGAGGTTTAAATAGCATTTACTTCTCATAACAGTTATAACTCATTGTGCCCTAAAACATTTTTGAAATAGAAGTTAAAAAGCAATAAAAAATGAAACACAAACTCATGGGTGCTCTTGAAAATACATGTACTAGTACTGAGTCTGTACTTTAGCCTAAGTAACTTGAATTCCAAAACTCTAATGAAAAACACAGTGTACATAATTGGTTAATTAAAGCAATTTCATTAATGAGTGTTTTAGAGCTGCATCTACTACACTCATTTTATCTCAAATGCTTGTAAATATCTTGTTCATGGTTCCTTTGAAGGTGCAAGCAATATGTAACATACAAAATTGTTCAAAGTAAGAGCCTTTTTTCATATTCTTCAAGAACGTAGGATTTTCGCTTCTCACTGGCAAATTTAGTGAAGTTATAGGTTGAAATACATATTAAAAATGTCTTCTTTATTATATTCTAAGAGCATTAAAAACTATAGAGAAACGAGTCCATCAGTGTGTTCTAAGAACCTGCATGAAGCTGCTGGACTTAGGTAAAATGGAAACCTCACACATGATAATTGCAGAGGTTAAAGGGAAGGCATTCTTTAAACAAAGAATGGATCTATGGCAAACCAGGGGATCTTGCAGAAATAAACATTCCTTCATCTGCAGTAGTGGACTGAAATTTCTATTTGTTACTCGAGAAAAATAAATAAATCTAGAAGTGTGAGGGTAAGGCTTACTTCTCGTAATACAGCAGTGGTCACTCTGTGATAAATATATGGAATGGATTCAGCCTTTTAAACTCTCAATGTCTGACTGTTCTAGAATTAAATGCTACTTCTATTGTATTTGATTTTTTTCCTTTCAGTAAAACTTACTTTCATCTCCAGTTTCAAATTCAAACTTCTGGCTATAGCCGCTGTATCCTGCTGCCGTCCTGACTCTGATATGAAATATATACTTGGTGGCTGGCTTGAGACCTGTGATGATAACACTTGGAGCCTTGGACCTTGTGGAGGAATAGCTGAGCTGCTCATGCTCCTGAGGGACAAAAGAGGGGAGAAATGATATCAAGTTGAGTTGTACAAACTTAACAAAAATGATACAGCAAAACTGAAGCTCCAAATTCTTCTCATGAATGTAAAATGTGTTTATAAAAGAAGGTGCAGGTATGGATTTCAGTACTTTGATTTTGTGCTATAGTCACAATGTATGATATGGCCTTGACTTAGATATCATTTTTTCTGCCCTTAGTCTTGCATATAGACACATCACATCTCTGTGACTTAGGTTAGTAATTACACTGTAGTCAAAATAATATGGAATTAGTACAAGACTATATTCACAGAAAATGACAGCTAGAATGGCAGCTAACTATTTTTGCACAATAGACAAGCTAGGAGGTCAGTAAGCACTAGTAAGCTATAAAGTAAAGATGTGGGAGTATTCAAATACCCGCTACTCACTTCTACCCGCAGGTAGTGCCAAAATGCCGGCGCTATCCGTGGGTAGACCTGTGGGTAAAAGAAAATAAAAATTAACCTTTTCTTTAAAGTCTGTAAACTTTTAGCATGGCTCAGCTGAATCACTGATGTTGACCTTTATTTCTCTTTCCAGGTAGCAGTAATGTAGCTGTACATGAAATTCACTTTTACATTCTGTTAGGAGAGACACTTTGAAATTCTCCAGCTAATTTCCTACCAGTTGATTTTGGGTATCTGCTGAGAATTCCTGAATCTCACAGGGTCAGGGAATTGCCACTGCAGACAAGCTGCTGTAATGCGGAGATCAACCACACCAATTGCTGCACAGAAAGGAAGTGCTAGACACATTTTTGGTGACTCATTTAAATGAGGAAATGTCTTAAAAGAGAGTCTACTGCCTGTCATTAGTTACAGTCACTCGATAAATCTGTAAGCTGTAATATTTTCTATGGTGCCTTAAGGCTAGCTTTACTGTATTACAGTAGGAGTCATCCACAAACTGATAACATGAACAGAACTGTCCTTGGCACATGCTCAATAATCCAACTGTGGTACCCATAGGGCACCATATAAATTTATTATAACATGCAGTATTATTAGAGTACGCATGTATTATTCAAAGGATGCTTCCAGCCTATTCAGAAGGAAACAACCTTGTTCACAGAAGAGATATAGCAAGGAAAACATAGTTTTCAATTAGATTGTTGAACTTCTAACCTGTTCTGAACATATGTGTATTTTTTGTATAAAACAAACAGTAATCACAATGAGTCAACTGGAGTCACAGCATAACAAAGCCACATCAGCATAGGGCAAGAAGTACATCAGTATTCCTCCAGTACACATACAAGGAGATGGATAAGAAGATCAAATTAAAAATCAATCAAACACACAAAAACGACTTAGTGATTCTGTTAAAGAGAAGGAAGGTATGCAATAAGGACTGATATTTAAAATAATTGTATTTAATGCTCAATAAAAACAGTGGAAATAATTTGAGAAACGAGAGTAAAAGGAAGAGTTGATTTGTTCCACAGTCTATTAACAAAATTTAAAATCTCAAAAAATGTGTATTTAAATTGAAACATTAGGGCACTGTGTAAGCAATCTTATGAATGGCAATTACAATTAACATAAAAAGAAATTTAACAACTGGTTTCAGCATCAGACTTCTCCAATTAATTGAAGTGCTATAAATTCAATTTGAGTGAGTTAGTGGATTTTATGCTTTCATTTTCTGAGAAATTTCAGAAAAAAAAAAATTTATTCTGACAGAAAATCTGCTAATACAAAGGATTTCCATTCCACTACCTTGTTATATGTGCAATTTCCAGCAACTTTCAAGTGTAGAACTGTAATATATCTCAAAACGTAACTTGGCCAAGGTTATGCAATCTTGGAGAACACAAGTTCTCCACTTAGTGCATTCACTTAGTAATGAGGCTACTGAGTAAAGTGGGTAAATTTCTACCTCAAGAGATCAAGTTGTTTAAAAAAAGATAGTAACCAGCTCAAAATCAATGTAAGACAGAAGATTTTTGCACAGGTTTCAGGAAAACCACACTTAGAAGTGTTCAAATGCCCTATCACCACATCCAAGTTCTTTTTTTTTCTACTTTTTTTTTTTTTTTTTTAATGTTTGGTAAATTTATTGCATCTTTCACTTCTAAATTGCAGTAGTAGAAAGAACATTTTCTCTTAAAAAGGGTAGATGTTAAGTCTCAAAATAAACTTAGGTTTAAATTTGAAAGGATTTAGAATTGATTTTAAGAGACTCCAAAATGCATTCAATACCAAACAATGTTTTAAAGAGCACGATATTTGTTACAATGGATTTATCATAAAGCGTGATCGGTAGAAAGATGTTTGCGAAAGAAAAAACCATGATGTGTTAAGTGGTTCTTAGTACCCCTGATTTGTAAGCATGATTCCACATTACTCGGTGCCAGGAATACCCTGTGTGTGGCTGGACCAAGGTGGAGAGAGCCCTGCAGTACCCCTTACTGCCGTGAACTTCCCAATGAGAAACCTTCCAGTTCAAGCCATGTAAATTTTACACAGGGTAAGAATAAAATTACTAGATGAGACCAAAGAGGAATACATGGAGCCCAACTGCACAGTTCTGCCCTACTCTGTCTCTGTGAGCAGGCTGTGCCTAACAGCAACCTTCTTGAGGGGCAAATGCCTCTGACCATCCATTTGGGGTGGTGAATGGTATTTTGTCACCTCCAAGAGCTGTTAGGCTTGCTGCTTTCTCACCACCAGACAGGGACATCTGCAGTATACTCTGGGAGCTTTCATCTCCAAGCCCTTCAATTTCCCTTCCTTTCCACAGCCTCTTATGCCATTCATCATATAGCCCAAAAAACAATGTATAGAGGCATGTTATCATATAAATATTACTGCCACACGGGAAAGGGTAAATGATTTGTTACAGGAAGTGAAATACGAGAAAGCAAACCTTGTCACCTTGGTGTATGTGAGAAAAAAAAGTTTCAGAAACACGTACTCGAAGAGGAAGTTACTCAAACTAGAGACAAAAAGATTAATAGTTGGAAACTTCACATCATTTTACACAAAGAAATCAACCATTTTGGCCTAGATTAATATATAAGATGATTCTCCAAAGAGTGGATGCTTGAACTCTCCAAAGATAGGACACTGTACTTTCAAACTCTGATGTTTTTATCTCTCAAAGAAATTACTCTGAAATACCATCTAATAACACAATGTTGGCAAAGACAGTTTGTTCCTACTTCATAACAAAATTTAGTATCAGACAAAAAACACATTCCATGCTATTTGTCTAGATAATATTATTTCTGTCTATCTTAGGTTTATTTTAAAGTTTTTCATTTTTGTGCGAGGTTATTTCAGTGGGACAAGCTGGAATAGAAAAAAATAATGCTATGAATGCAACATAAAATAACACCAACAATACTGTTCATGAAAAACTACTCAGTTTAGATGTTGTAAGTACTAAATCACACTTCATAATGAGGTGTGGAAAATGGATTTCTGAGAACAAAGTTCACTACTGAGAGGAGTGTATAGAGATTCATTGTACTCAGTTGACTAGCAGTCATTTATGCCAATGACTGATTTGTCTGTTTTCAACTGAAAGGAAGCTGTGGCTTTCTTCTAAAATGAGATTTACAGAATGAAATACACAAGAACCCCATATGTATTTGGTACTAGCCAAATGACCGTAAGACACTGCTGATAGTAAACTGGGTATTATCCAATTTTCAAAAAAGGTGGATGAGTTTATTAACCACTAGATGTTTTGGTCAAGACAACATAGATTATTATATTGCATCAGACACATACAGATGAATCAAAGTAATATCAGTACTTATTTTAAAAAGATCATCAAATATAATTTTCTATCCTTTAATATATATAATCAGATCTCCAGGAATTATGAATCTCTTGCAGTTTACTTTGTGCCTGACTAATTTCATGAACGACAATCGAGGTATTCAGTTTATGAAATCCAGTGAGTAACTGAGAAGTCTCTTAAACAGACATTGGGGAAAGTGTTTTTAAAGGCTTCTGCTAGCTGAGAACGTATTTTTCATGTATCTACAACCTCCAAATCCATGTGTGCTGAAAACACCCAAGGAGACAGCAACAAGTTTTTCTATCAAACGCTTACAAGTAGAGAAAACTGATTTGGCTTACATACATTGTCCTTCAACATGAAAATTCCCTACTTACATCATAGAATCCTGCTTAGCCTTTTTTCAGAACTATTATCTAACAAGAGCAAATACTAATAGAAATGCAATCTTTATGCCACAGAGAACCGGTCTTTCTCCTGTGCACTAAAGCACAATGTCAAAGCTGAGTAAGTACCACATTAAAGAAAGGAAGACTCAGAGTTCTGTGATCCAGACATTATCAATGTTGAAATAAAAGCTCGAATAATAAAAAAGAATCTTTTACGAGAACATTTGTTCACATTTTTCCACTTTCCTTGATACATCAGTTTGAAGGATATACACAATGTGACCTACAGAGGAAGCATCATTATTTTAAGGGAATGGCCATAATTCAGGAAGCCAGGAACTTTTATTAATTGTAGCTCTGGGCCATCATGAAAGGAAATGTCAAAATGTCCTACCCCATCTTTAGTTTTCCCTTGGAAAAGCCACGATAGCACTTAATTTCCTCCAGGGTCAACTGAACTTTAAAGTTGCAATATACATTAGAATGAAACAGTAGGTAATTACTAGGTATAGTCAATATGTGATTAATCAGTTCAAAGAGAATTTGTTACAGTCAAGTAACAGTGAACTATGGAATTGGTTACTACTCCTTGTGTTTTCTCAGAAAAATACAGACCTAGTGATTTTAACATATGAAAATCACCTCTGATTTATGCTGCCCGCATTTGTCTCACAATGAGCTCATCCCAACAATGTCAGAAAAACACGTTTCTTCTTTGCAATTATTTCTATAACATGATTTCAAAATTCTTAATGCCCTTAATCATAACTCGAGTCTCATCTCTCTTAGATCGCTGTAGGTAAGGAGCAATCACACTGAAATCAGGAAAATTAACTATGCCTTAGAAACTCAGAATCTACCTTGGAAAGTTTATCTTTACAACATTGCGCATGGTTTTCAGTTAGAGGATTATTTTGACCTATAGAGTACCTATCGAGACGACTGTCAACAGCAACATTTTAAAGTTATTAGAGAAGAGATTCAAAGATTTAAGAATGTGCTCTTAACATTAATTACTGTCTGATTACAATATGATCAGCAGGATTAGGTCAAGCCTCACAGAATCACAGAATGGTTTGGGTTGGAAGGGACCTTTAAGATCACCTAGTTCCAACACCCCTACTATAGGTATGGATACCTCCCTCCAGACCAGGCTGCTCAAAGCCTCATCCAGCCTGGCCTTGAATGTCTCCAGGAAAGGGGCATTCATAGCCTCATTAGGCAACCTGTTCCCATGTATCACCACCCTCAGTGGAGAAATACAGTGATAAGAAAAATTACAATAGTAGGAATAAGAA